AATTAAACACGTATAGCTTTTATATTTCATTGTTTTATGATACACATATTTTTTGCAGAATTCTTTTATTTTTTTAAATATCTTGCTTTATATAAAATTCAAACCGTAAAAATTAAGTACCGCACTCCTAACTACCTCACAGATGAAGTTGTACTAATGTGCACAATTACAAGTTTTAAACTCAGTTTGTCGCCACAGTTTCAATGGCCATTGCTCGAGGGCTTTCGCGTGTCTTGCATTCATACTATGCTGAGTACTGATTTAAGCTGTGTACATTGAAGGATGCATGCTCATGCCTCACCATGACATTCGATTTTACGTCCCTCTTATTAATGGTCTCGGGGAATTACTGATACACGACATCGTGAGGATAACTCTCGTGACAGTACTCGTACATACATGCACGCACACCCGCGCCCATTCACACACGCATACACACACATATACAACCGCGCCCACACTCATACACACACACACACCCGCCCATACACATACGCTCACACCCGTACACATTCACATATGCGCGCGCAAGCACACACACGCACATACACACAGTTATGGCTAGGCTGCCTTAATGACAGTGTGTGATACAGCACTACAAACACAAAGCTTACATCAAATCGATATAATCTTGATTCGATCGCTTGACAATACTTGTTGCACTTTAAACTTTAAATAAGTAATCATTGAAGTATCGGAATACCAAAGCGTCATTCTTTCAAGTGTATAAAATAAATTAAAAAAAAACAACAGAAATCCAGCCGTCCATAAAGACATTTTTATAGCTACCAGGTATTCGTAATTCTAACATTCTTTACTCAAAGCATTCATATTCAGAATAATTCACAATACTCAACATTCGTAATTTATCCGACACTAATAATTCGATACGTTCGTTAATCGAAACGTTCGTAACTCGAATCTTTCATAACCACCGGATCTCTAGAAAATTCTAAATAAATTTAAAATCCTGTTTCAAGCATAGCATTATGGCATTGATGTTCCATCAGACACAAAACACAGGCTAATACAACAGGCAGATGAAAATCTCTGTTGTGACACCAACACAATGATGCTTGCATGTTTTAAAAACAAATATTTGAATAGCCCAGCCTTAAAGTACAACTCCCCATTCAAAACAGCCGACAAAGACTGTCATTTCAGATCGAGATGGAGCTGGTATTTGTTACGAAGGCTTTGATTGGTGCGGAGATTACAAAACGTAATACTCCGAGATCTAAACGCATCGGGTCAGAGAGTATTTGCTGTCAATTTTTTTCTCCCTTTTTCTTCTAGAACCAAAGGCCTCTGTGAGTGGTAACCACGAAGGATCTTCAATATCTGCTCCATCTTGATGTCCCAGTTTGTTGTTGAAGAATTGAAGATAAAATGTTGATTCTCTCCCCTCCCTCCTCCCCATACTTTATCTCTCCATCTACCAAGGTCTTCTTGTTCTAGATATAAAAAAATCGATGCGTTTTCTTCTTATTTCCTGATGTTGTCCCATCCATCTAAACGTCTACGACAAACACACCCGGCAATTTTTAGCTTTACCGAGCAATTTTGTCGCAATCTGGGTGCCGGGGGATTTAGTAGGCAATTATCCTTCGTCTGTTCGGGATGGGCGGGAAAAAATGGTTATTTACCTAAAGTACTGCATTACTAAATTACGACAATCTACCAACTTTATGGGCGTATTTGTCACCTTTGTATTTTTTCCCCTTGCTGTTTTCTGTACTAACTGTCGAAATTCGCGTCAAAGACTATTTTTCTTGCTATAGATTAACTGTTTCTGTGTGTTTTTGTTTTGTGACAGCTATGTTGAACTAGTAGCTCACCATATAGTGTATTAAAGCCGAGTTGGTACTCGTTCGCTCACCGCACATGCATACATATTTCCCATCGGCTGGGCATACTGCTAATCACACTATCCCTACATAAGTCGAAATCACAGACCTACATATGTCGAAATCACAGGAACAGATGAACTCTACTTCATTTTCCCCATATTCTGTTAGGTTTGAAAAGGAATTTACTGACTTTAAGAACCTAGCCCTTGCCTTACCCTATCCCCAAGCCTGTTACTAAATTTACCTTAAAGTTAAACCCGTTTCCTAAAAGCCGATGTGTCGTTATCTGTGATATTCGCTGTACGTTAAAATACAACTGCCCAACAATACGATTATGTAGGCAGAGCTAATCAATGGGAACTGCATTTTTCATAATGAAACGAAAAAAAAACGTTTTTCTCAGAAGTCATCCTCGATCCTATTCATACATTCATCACGGTACCATTATGTAATACTATCCACCTCGGCACTCGTACGCTAGCTTTTTTTTTCTCATAATATATCTTTTAGACTTTTGTTTTATTAGTAAAAACAAAAAGAACATTATCGAAGAAAAAATAGTTAAAAAATAGTAACACAACATTTTCTGTTATTGATTTGGTAAGAAAGCCACACAATGCTACCGATACGAAGACCTTCACGCTATTGACGGTAGTGTCTAGCTCATTCTAAATACAAACTCCCATGTTAAAAATTTCAACCCCCCCCCCCCCCCCCCACACACACACACACCTCCCCATCTGACCAACCCAGACGGCAACACGTCAGCAGACGACATTTATAGAAGCCGCCTAATGGTCTCGACGGAGACGGTTTTGACATATTTTCTTGACCAAGACCTCAACAGTCTACTACTCTAAGGCTTATAACAAACATTTTAGCGGAAGTTTTCCTTTCTTCTTTGAGATTTTTCTCTTACATAGACTCGGACACTATCGATTCCGTTATTTTCCACTGGACGTAATAGTGACTGTAATTTATTTTTGGACATAATCGATTATGCCCTATTCTATTTGGACAAAGTCGATACTATTCTATTTAACTTAAAGGCAAATGAATCCTTTCCAATTCCATTCGGACAAAATCAATACTTTCCTATTCATTTCGTAAATATTATATACAGTCATACTATATTCGTACAAATACTAAACTGTCCTTTCCTATTCAGACAATAGATTCTGTTCTATTCTATTCGAACACAATCGAATATGCCTTATTCTATTCAGTCAAAGTCAAACCTATCCTATTCTATTCAGACGCATGCGATACTGTCGATTCTATTCGTACTATACATAATCGAGTCAGCCTTATTCTATTCTGACACAAGCAAATCCATTCGTACACAATCAAATCTATCCTATTCTATTCGCACACAATCAAATCTATCCTATTCGGACGCAATCGATACTGTCCTATTCTATCCTAACATAATCGATTCTGTCCTATTTTACAGACACGATCCATACTGTCCTAGTCCCATCTACATAAATGACCCGGTAAGTAAACGTCAAGCCATCCTCGAGACGCATCAGTATGCGGGCGTCTGGAAGTAATTCGTAGATTCTGCATCAGTGGATCTCACTCTGGGAGGGGGGGGGGGGGCCGGGGCTGATTGTACGGAAATACTGCTAATATCAAGCGGACACGTGTTATAATATGTGTACGGAAATACTTCGAATGTAAAAAGGACACATGTAATAATCAGAGTTTCTTTCAGTTATCTCCTCTAGGGAGGGTGGGATGGGGCACTGCCTCCAGGAGCCCCCCCCCCTCCTCCGATTTTACGAGAGAAACAAATTAGTATATATTTCAAGTGAACCCTCCCCCCCTAAAAAAATTCCTAAAGAAACCCTAGTTATTATAATTGTACTTTTCCGTCCTAGCGTAGCAGTCGGCCTTTGTTCCTTGATGCACGTAGCATTTCCTTTAGTACAGGGCTAGGTTTCCGAGGTTAGGGTTAGACTTTGGGAATTTCGTTATTTCAGACATGTATTTCAAAAGCGTACCGATAAATTAGAAGAAAAAACACAACAAAATCATCTTTATAATGGACTTTAATCATTATCCGCCATAAGGCTAGTACAATGAAGACTTCATACATTATCCAACTTTAAGCTCGTACAATGAAGACTTTATACGTTATCCGCACAAGGCTAGTACAGTGAATGCCCCAACTGTTTGAAGATTGAGATCCTCTGGTCTACATTGATGTAGACTCGCACTCACGATATTTGGTTCAGCATTGAAGAAAAACGTCATGTGTTTTATTTCAAGAGATTGGTCGTGTACCCAAAAACTCTGATTCTGTAATGGTTTATTGCTTTGTACGAAACGGCGATATGACACAAAAACCTCAAACAAATCAGAGCAAACATTCCAATTCAAACCTCTTGTACATCCGGGGAGATTTTATTCTAGTTTTTTTATGCCCCAATGGTCACTCACCTTAACACTCCTTACTTGGATTCACTTATAGTTGATGTGATATTTATCCATTGATTTTAAAGTCAGCTTTATTTTTGTCCATTTAACTGTTGTTTTTTGTTTTTTAAATCAAAATGATCGTATTGTATTACAACTCTAATAATGTGCTTGTTTGTATATATATAACGAAGTCTATGATTACAGTGTATCAAGAATTAAAACCCCTTGTCACCTAGACTATTGCTCCATTCTATCACCTGTTAATATCGCCACTTGTCCCATTCAACCACCTGTTGATAACCTCACCTGTCCCATTCTATCACCTGTTGATATCCTCACCTGTCCCATTTACCTGTTGACATCCTCACCTGTCCCATTCTATCACCTGTTGACATCCTCACCTGTCCCATTTACCTGTTGACATCCTCACCTGTCCCATTCTATCACCTGTTGACATCCTCACCTGTCCCATTTACCTGTTGACATCCTCACCTGTCCCACTCAACCACCTGTTAATATCCTCACCTGTCCCATTCAACCACCTGTTGACATCCTCACCTGTCCCATTGAATCACCTGTTGATATCCTCACCTGTCCCATTTACCTGTTGACATTCTCACCTGTCCCATTGAATCACCTGTTGATATCCTCACCTGTCCCATTTACCTGTTGACATTCTCACCTGTCCCACTCAACCACCTTTTGATGTCCTCTCTACTCCCCCAGCTCTGGATGACGACAAATGGCACGTGGTCAACATCGAGGTTGACCCCAAGAAGACCAAGCTGACCGTCTCTGTAGACCGGGAGAGCCAGAACGAGATCCTCAACGGCTACTACTGGATGGACACGCGGGAACTGTTGGTCTGGCGGGAACTGAAGTCTGTCGTCTACATTGGAGGTGAGCACTTAAGTTACGGTTATAACAGGCGGGGAGGGGAGTCTATCGTCTACATTGGAGGTGAGTGCTTAAGCTACGATTATTTATAGATGGGGAGGCGAGTCTATCGTCTACATTGGAGGTGAGCACTTAAGTTACGGTTATAACAGGCGGGGAGGCGAGTCTGTCGTCTACATTGGAGGTGAGCACTTAAGTTACGGTTATAACAGGCGGGGAGGGGGAGGGCGAGTCTATCGTCTATATTGGAGGTGAGCACTTAAGTTACGGTTATAACAGGCGGGGGGGGGGCGAGTCTGTCGTCTACATTGGAGGTGAGCACTTAAGTTACGGTTATAACAGGCGGGGAGGCGAGTGTGTGTAGTGAAAAGATATAAAATATGTGCTAACGAAGACCTTGGGTCGAAACGTCCATAGTACGTGTAATTGTCTTTAACTTGTGAGGTAACTAACACTATCAGTTTTATTACTATGTCGGTATAACATTATCGTGTTGATCGATCATCCATAGCCATGTAGTGAGGAATGGGAACTCTCACTTAACTGGTAGAGAGTTTCATTGCAAGTGTCCATTAGGCCGTTTGTCGCATTCGGGCAAGTGTCCATTCGGGCATTTGTCGCATTCGGGCAAGTGTCCATTCGGGCATTTGTCCCATTCGGGCAAGTGTCCATTCGGGCAAGTGTCCATTCGGGCAAGTGTCCATTCGGGCATTTGTCCCATTCGGGCAAGTGTCCATTCGGGCAAGTGTCCATTCGGGCATTTGTCCCATTCGGGCAAGTGTCCATTCGGGCATTTGTCCCATTCGGGCAAGTGTCCATTCGGGCAAGTGTCCATTCGGGCAAGTGTCTATTCGGGCGTTTGTCGCAATCGGGCAAGTGTCCATTCGGGCAAGTGTCCATTCGGGCAAGTGTCCATTCGGGCAAGTGTCCATTCGGGCAAGTGTCCATTCGGGCAAGTGTCCATTCGGGCAAGTGTCCATTCGGGCAAGTGTCCATTCGGGCAAGTGTCCATTCGGGCAAGTGTCTTTCAGGAAAACGCCCGGCTCCCGTCTGAAAGATAAGCTTCGAAGTTACCCCATGATGAGGTAGAAAAGATGCAATGATACTTGGTACTATTGGTACTTTACTTAACTTTACCGTTGAAAGCTCCCAATATCCGTTGCTTGGCAACTCACACCGATAATTTTTTTGAAGTATAGATGTTCCCACCCCCCCCCCCCCCCACCCCACCCCGTTAAATCACTGTTGCCCAGCAACGATAGTATTGTCCCTTCATAAAAATGTTAACCGCGCCCTAATCCACCCCACCCTGTCTTGTGATATAAAATACTTAGTCTCCTCTTTAAAAACATGCAAATGTACCAAAATACAAGTTTTTTAAAATCTATGTTTTTAAGAAAATTATGCTAATTATTTTGTTATGTCATATTTTTATCCCCCCCACGTACTACATTGCTACAAATGTCAGACAACCTTCCCCACCCCCACCCCCACTCCACTAGCTGCATGACGTCATAAACTTCCTTTAAAAGACAAATATGGTCGGATGGTAGTGACCACGAATCTAACCCGAAAGTTTCGAGTTCGAATCCCGAGTATGTATGAAGTCCCTGAGTTATGAAAATTAAAGTGGCATAGACATATTTACCTGACCACACTATCCTCTGTATGCCCATGAAATCGAAACATATAGTGTAGTTCATCTGCCCCATGTGTCTTGTGGAAAAGCGGATATTGATTCACTTTAAAAAAAAACCTTCAAACCCTCATTGTCGCCTCGTTCCAGACTTCAAGCCCCGCAAAAACATCAAGTACCAGAGCTACATCGGCTGCCTGGGGGAGATCGGCTACACCCTGCCCAGCGGCACCATCACCAGCCCCACCTTCAACAGCACCAGCGGCGTCGTGGGCGGGTGTGTCGACCTGTGCCAGGGGGACCGGTCCTGCAACCTGGGCCGGTGCATCAACCGGTACACGGGCATCACGTGCGATTGTTACGGCACGGACCACGAGGGACAGTTCTGTAACATTGAAGGTAGGCTTGTTATAGGGATAAATAGGTCGCATGGACATTTGTTTAAAGATTGACAATGATAAGTGTACTAAGTGTTGTCCGGAAGGTGCTAATGATATTGGAAGGACAAAATACAGTAAGAGCTATAATAAAGTAAGGGTTATAATAAAGCAAGGGCTATAATAAAGCAAGAGCTTTAATACAGAGAGGGCTATAATACAGAAAGGGCTATAATACTGCGAGGGCTATAATACAGAAATGGCTATAATACAGAAAGGGCTATAATACTGCGAGGGCTATAATACTGCGAGGGCTATAATACAGAAAGGGCTATAATACTGCGAGGTCTATAATACAGAAAGGGCTATAATACTGCGAGGGCCATAATACTGCGAGGGCTGTAATACAACGAGGGCTAGAATACAACGAGGGCTAGAATAAAGCTAGGGCTATCATAAAGCTAGGGCTATAATAAAACGACGGCTAGAATACAGTGAGGGCTATAATACAGCGAGGGCTGAAATGCAGTGAGGGCAGAAATGCAGTGAGTGTTTTAATACGGCGAGGGCTATAGTACAGTGAGGGCTATAGTACAGCGAGGGCTACATTACATGAATAGGTTAGGCAAGAGCCGACCTAGTGCTAGAGAGCATCTAGAGTTCCTATACATTAGATCCATTAATCCCGTCTGTGCTAAAGTTCAATCCTGTAACCCAACACCATAGTGCATAAAGTTCAAAACACACTTGATCCAGCGCGAGCAACAAAACATAACACCAAATCACACTTGGCTAATGGGGACGTCCAGCGGGCCTCTGGTGTTGGTGGGTGGCCAAGTGGATGATATTTCGTGGCCGTTAACAAGTCAACATCGTTCAATTGACGAGTTTTGCTGACTCGCTTGTTTCAGTGTTGATTGCATCTGTTTGTTGGCTTCATGCGCTGACCAGACATGAACTCTTTTGTATTGTTGTTTTGTTTTTGTTTGTGTGTTTATTTTGTTGTTTTTTTTTGTTGTTGTTTTTGAATAATATTAACCCCACGTATTTAAAATATTGTGATCAAATTTGCAGCCGCTTCCTGTCTAATTTGTCATGACATAGACGACAGAAATAATTCACGTGATGATATAGAGTTTTTTTAAAAAATGATATTAATAATGACACATAGCAACGTGAGCCAAAATGTCATCAAGCAAAATTGTAACCCTGCACTGACATAAATTAGTTCCGACTGTACGGGGATACCTAGAATTTCTTTTCTGTTTGTCGGGCACTAGTTGATAGATCGTTCATTGGCCAGAAAAAAAAACAAGCTAGAAAATCTAAAAACAAACATTTATCTAGAGTTCTTATCATATATTCTGGATGCCTCTGTCAATCTTTGTTCATATTTTGTTTTGATACAATGTAAATTTACTTAATTAAATTACGAATCTTCATTGCTTTTTACACGAGAGTGTATAAAATTCTATCTTGTTGTATGTATACATTAATGACGTTTGTGCATTTAGCGTTAGAGTTAAGGTAAAATTATACAACTTCATTTAAATCACACCTTAAACGTTTATGACAAAAAAAAACAAATTCCCATTTTTCTTTTCATGTTGCATAAATTCACGTTCTATTCGCAAGCTAGAGTTGATTTCAGACCAAAACAAACGCCAAAACAGTTTGGCCTATTTTCTGTACCGAATCGACTCACTCCTCTCGTAAAGTGCATCCAAAATATTCCAGCCACCCTTACAACTCCAGCGGTCGGACTAGTAACCGCGCCAAAACAGGAAAATACCGGATAGCCTCATCCATACTGTTCCTGTGGGAGACGGGGATCTAACATTATTACCCCCCACCCCCCCCCCCCCCCTCCTTTCATTCACCCTCCACCCGCTAATTCACAAGCCACACATGCAAGCATAATTACCATATCGTCATGAATATTCATGAGCCGGGATGTTGGCTGGGAATAATTGGCGGGGTTTGTATTGTAATAATTGAATAAGGATAAACCAACTCTGGGACGTCCATTTATTAATTCGTTGGTGTTTTGTTCCCTGTTTTTGATGTTACACAACCATTGACCCCGCGCCCGGTCATTAGTTTTTAAAATCCCACTATGATATTGGTAACGTTTGTCACTCTTGAGCAATGTCTCTTTCAGGCATCGCCCCCCCCCCCCTTCCGAATGAACGAAATATAATTTAAATAGAAAATGTATTATTTTACAAGTTTCCTCCCCTCCCCCTTCTCTCGGAGAGATAAAGTCTGAAAGAAACACCGTTCTTGAGGTTAAAGCAATCGTAAAACTATTTTTATGAACAGTATATTTACCATTATGGGACGGCGTGGCCTAGATTTAGTGCGCTAGAATGCTAACCCGAAAGTCTAGAGTTCGAATCCGGGTTCAGGTCATTGGAACGTCCAAGAGTCCACCCAACTCTGATGGGTACCTAACTCTCTTAGGGAAGAAACTCTGATTCTAAATTGGCTGAGATAGTGTAAAGAACTATGTCATGATGTGTCAACAACGAAACAACGTAAACTTGTATTCTACGGCAGAACAGGAAATCATGCAACAGTGTTAAGCTTTCTTTTAGACTCCATATACAATTTTAAAACATGGATTCAGGGTGTTGAAAGCAAAAATGTTTTCATACCCTCGTGTGGCCCCGGGGGATATCGTGGGGGTGGTGGGGGGTGTTGGTGGCGTGGAGGTCTCCTGTAAAAACAAGAAAAATGATAGCACGTGATGACTTCTTGTGGGTCAGTCTTGGTGCCCGTGTCTTGGTCAATAAACGGCTGGAACTGTTTGCTACAGACGGATACATCAACAATACGTCTGGACAGCATGCGTGAGCCTGGCCAATAAGTAAAGGAGGAGTGGGGGAGGGGGTGCTTAATATGTCTGGGTTGGAGGAGAAATGTGTGCTGGGAGAAGGGGGTGGTACATGGACAGTTCTCGGTAGTTTAACACTGTGTGTGTGGGGGGGGGGGGGGGGGGGGGCACAGTGTGGTAGAGAAAGATTAAGGCAGACAGACATGGGGAGTTTGGTGTTGTTAAAGTTGATTGGAATAAGTTTTGTTTTTTTTAAATAAGCGTGAAAATGTTTTGTTTGTTGACTCTGTTTATTAGTGTGTCTATTGATTTTGTAGATTGCTTGTTTATTGTGTTTATTGATGTGTAGATGTGATTAGTGATGTTTAATTTTGTGTATTGATGTTTGTCAATGTGACTAATGATTTTGTGCGGTTTTTTTTTGACTGTGTTTATCGATGTGTATTGCTGTGCTTATTAAAGTTGTTGATTGTTTTTTATCGTGTTTATTGATCTATATAGGTGCGATTATTGATTTTTAATTGCGTTTATTTGTTTGTTTGTTGTATATATTGATGTTTGTTGAGTGCGTTTATTGATTTTCCTACAATTCAACTGTTCCAAAATTATCCTTGAACTGAGTCGTCAGCAGTAGAACGGGATGATTGGACGTAATCTAACCCCAGTCTCTGAGGGAGGAATATTACACTCGTCCCCCGGGGAGTCGCTCGGGGGGGGGGGGGGTTCAGTCAGTGGTTCTCACACGGTCATTTAAACCTCGCCCGTCACGAAAGACAACTGATCAGCGCGCACTGACTTCTCAGCCTAATTACAGTCCACGAAATTACAGTCCACGAAATGACAGTCCCGCCGGACGAATTAACCTCTATTTTGACCAGCGGTCAATTTCCTAATTAATTACAATTGTCCCGATGGACAATGCACATTCTGTCACAAGTGATCGGGGAACAATAACGTCAGATCTGAGAACCGCTGGGCTAGGAGCGTTGCTTTGTCTTAGAAACACATCATCTATGGCGTGTTTGTGTTTGCGCTGTGATCGTTAGTTCGTGTTTAGTGTCGTCGCGGCCTTTGATAATGTGTTGTACCTAGTTATCCGTTGTAACTTTGTCTCTGTCTGTATGTTGTCCATAGTAACTAAACTAAAAAAAAACTAAGGGGGATGGACACTACTGTGAACATGTTTTTTCTCGCATTAAACCTCTTTGCCCCCCCCCCCCCCCCCCCATCACATACCAGAAATGGACTACGGATTCTGTCCCCAACAATTAACTTTATGTAAGATATATGAGCATGTTCAGTGCTGTCTTGGATATGTTGATATACCTAGTTATCCGTTGTAACTTTGTTCCTGTCTGAATGTTGTCCATAGTAACTAAACTAAAAAAAAAAAAAAAACTAAGGGGGATGGACAGTACTGTGAACATGTTTTTTCTCGCAATAACCCTTTCCCCCCCCCCCCCCCCCCCCACCAATATATCAGTAATGGACCTCTATTACCTATTCTGTCCCCAACAATTAACTTTATTTAAGATATATCAGCATGTCTAATGCATGTCGCGTATATACTATTTACCAACGCAGTCGGGTGAGACAGTAACAGTTTGAATTTTATTCTCCTAATCTCGCTTGCAAGTTTTATCCTAGAAACATGACTTCTTACAATTCCCTTCACCGTTGCTCATCTCGTCCATATGAGCGCGTTTCCCATTGATATTCTGGAACATTCTAAACCTTCTCGCGGCCAGAACCTCCTTATCGTGGAAATAAAAATGGCCTCTTTAAGTGCCCATGACGCCGTAGGTCAAAGGTTAACTGCCGTAACCTTTAGCTCAGGTTTAATCATGGAATGTCCTATTGTGTCTCGGAAAGTGGTTTTCATGTTAGTCTCCCCTGTCCTGTCAGAATTGCTTGGTTATATAGGACTAGAGATGGTCAGATCGTTATACAGATACCTTAAACCGTTGTGCAGCTAAATAGTATTGTATTAGGTTTATAGAAAAAAGCTGAAGTTAGATCGTTATAATGATCCATTAAACCGTTGTTGTAGCTAATAGTAATGTATTAGGTTTATAGAGAACATCTGATTACTGAAGTTAAATCTTTATGCCCAAAGCCCTTAAGCAATTATGTTGCTGATATTATTGTAGTAGGGTTATAGAAATGATTACTGAAGTTAGATCATT